TTTCAAGTTGGGGCTATTGAACCGTCGAAAAGCCCACACAGCGCACCCATAGTCTTGGTCAAGAAAAATACTGGGGATTGGCGCATGTGCGTAGATTATCGACAACTCAACGCCCACTCGTTCCCGGATGCTTCCTTCACATTTTGGAGAGGTTTAGACACGCACGGTTCATATCCACGCTGGATCTAAAGAGCGGTTACTGGCAGATCCCGATGGCGGCGGATAGTAGGGATTACACGGCGTTCACTGTGCCAGGTAGAGGATTGTTCTGGTTGATGCCGTTCGGCTTGCATTTGGCGGGGGCGACATTCCAGAGGGCACTGGATACGGTCATCGGGCCCCACATGGAGCCTCACGCGTTTGCGTACCTAGATGACATAGTGGTCATCGAAGCGACGAAGGAGCAGCATGTAGCCAACCTGAAGGAAGTTTTCCGCTGAGGTTGATTCCGCTAAGGTTGAGGCGATTGGGAGCCTCCCATCTCCTTCGAATCTCAAGGAGTTGCGGCAATGTCTTGGAATGGCATCCTGGTACAGACGCTTCGTACCAAACTTCGCGTCGCTGGTACAAGCGATGACGAAGCTTCTCAAGAAAGGTCAGAAGTGGATCTGGAGCGAGGAGTTGGAGGAGACATTGCAGAATCTCAAGGAGAGTTTGACGACCGTGCCTATTCTGGCCTGTCCCGATTTCTCGGCAAAATTTGTGTTGCAGACCGACGCCAGCGACTACGGCCTCTGTGCAGTGCTGACGCAAGAGGTCGAGGGCAAGAACGGGCTATAGCTGAGCTGAATTACTCGGCCACGGAAAAGGAGTGCCTCGGAATCGTTTGGGCGATCCGAAAGATGCGTTGTTACCTGGAGGGCTACAGATTCGACGTAGTCACAGATCACCTGGCATTGCATTTCAATTTAGACATTGCTCAACTCCATAGAAAGTCCCACGGGCAGGATTGCTTGATGGGCGCTAGAGTTGCAGTAATATCAATTCGACATACGTTATCGTCCAGGGAGTCTAAACATAGTGGCTGACGCACTGTCCCGGCAACCCCTAGACAGTTTTCAACAAGTAGTGGAAGATGGTCCCCTTTGCGGGTGGATACGGAAAATGCGCCAGAGGATTGCGAAGGAGCCTGACGAGTTTCAGGATTACGTGGAGGAGAATGGACAGCTATATCGGCATTTGGGTCATCGGATAGACGAAGAGGATTTTATCCCATAGAAGCTTTGCGTCCCTAGCAGTTTGAGGAGCAGAGTGATGACGGAGTGCCACGACGTTCCCACAGCCGGACACCAAGGAGTGAGGAAAATGGCAGCACGACTCGCGATTAGGTACTATTGACCGGGCATGTTCCGGGATGCCGCCAAGTACGTGAAGTGCTGCGAAGCGTGTCAAAAATTCAAATGCGTACTACAATAGCCGTCCGGGCAGATGCTGACCAGGCAGGTGGCGGAGCCAATGGCGGCCTTGTGCGCAGATTTCGTGGGATCTTTGCCTCGTTCCAAGCGGGGGAACACGATGTTGTTGGTGTTCCACGACGCTTTCGCTAAGTGGGTGAAGTTGGTGCTACTGAGGAGAGCCACCACCGCGTTGCTGCAGCTGGCGTTCCGGGAACGGTGGTGCTATTGCCCACCTTACTTTATACCCATTTATAGTAGAGACGAGTTTGGAGTTAGAATTATATTTTTGTTTGTAATGAATAAGTCGAACATTTTGAAGTGAAGTAGTATTCTTGGTCATAGTAGAGAGGAGTTTGAATTTGTAATTAAATTTTTAGTTTGTAGTAAGTAAGCGGCAACAGTTGAATTATATTTTGAAGTGAAGCAGTTGAAGTCGGTTGTTTATATTTTTAGTTATAGTTCATAGTTATTTTGGTAGAGAGTAAGTTGGGCAATAGGTAAAATAAGTATTAGTTTGTAAAATAGCGTTAAGTAGCTAATAAGTAGTTGTAAGTGTTGTAGCAGTCAGTTTTAGGACATAAGCAGTAATTCAAATTAGTGGGCGGGCACGCGATCAGCAAGGCAACCGTGCAGTTTGAAAGCTCGCGGTGGTGGATTGCATTGCTGGTCGTGTGGTGAAATCTGCACAGCGGCGAGAAGAGGATTGAAAGCTGCGTGCATGAGTTGTTAACTATAAGAACTGGTAGTTTGATCAACCATTCGTAGTGGCCCCACTAACTCCCCACAGCACGCCTTCGCAACCACGACCCCAGCAATCTAGATTGCGCTTGATCGCGCCACTCGATTGCTGCCGCCCTCCCGCGTGCAAACGCGTAGGCGTGGTTGGCGAGTTCAGGCCGCGTGGTCATCTAACCTCAAATAGTACCCTTCCCCTCTCCCATTTCTCCAGCACTTTACGTAATAACTTATTAATTTGTTGTAAGTTATGGCCCTGGGCAGACTGAGACTCTGACCCCGGCTGGAAAATTAATGTAACCTGTAAAGTAGTAAATTTTCAGCCGGGGACAGACTCAGTCTGCCCAGGGTGTACTCACAAGAAATTTATTAGAATCGTATGACACCAGGGGGGGGGGGGGGGGATGTTTAGTAATATGACCGGAACAGGGAAAGAGGAGGAGGTGCCACTCACGTGCACCGCTTGCTTTATAATCCAACCTTACACTCGCCGTCGCCTCGCCACCGTCCGATCCTCTGTTAGCTTCCCAGTCGCCTCTCTCAATCAAACTATCCTCTTTATTTTATTTGTTTTCCGCCAAGTTATTTTATTTTTCACTTTTCGACTAACTTAACCGCACTTAAAGGAAAATTACTTGCACAATTTAGTTTTAGTTTTTCTTTCATCCGACGGCGTCCGTTGCTCGATCCCGACTCACCGTCCGACGACCTTCGCTGCTCAATCTCGACTCTCCTTCCCTTTTACTATTAATTTGAAGGCGGCGATCGACGAGCCGTAACCTCTCGAGGATGTGGTTGATCCTTGGAACGGGGTAGTCGTCCGGAATCGAGTGGGCATTTAGCTGTCGGTAGTCCGCACACACGCGCCAATCTCCAATCTTCTCCTGTACTAATACGATGGGCGCGCTTCGCGAACTCCGCGATGGCTCGATAGCCCCATCTCGGATCCACTCGTCTACCTGTTCATCAATCACTCCTTTCATGGCCGAATTCTTGGGATGCCTTCGTTTATCATCCCGCATTCCTATGCCATGCTCAGTTACACTCGACACTCCTTCCAGTCCCCCAAGAAACGCCAACTTCGCCCCCAGAAGCTCCTTCCGCTTGTCCTCCAGATCCCCCGACCACCCTGTGTCGCCGGGGGAAGATTCCGCATTCTCTTCGTCCTCTTCGCGACCTCCTGGCCCTTGCGGTGGCGGACCACCTTGACTTTCACCATCGTCATCCGCTCTCAGTGCTTCTCGCGCCTCCCGCGCCGCTGGGCTACTCTGAAGCTTGTCCACCATCTCCAAGTCCTTCGCTCTTGCTGTTAGCGGGGAGCCCCTTTGCTCACCCCGCACCTCCGCTGAACGTCCCACGTCGTCTAAGAAAATATCCGATTTCCTCCGCTTTCCGTTGTCTACTAGACTCTGCGGCGACGGGCTACCCCGAACTTCACCAACGTCGTCCGCCTTTAATAATTCTCGCGCTTCCCGCGTCGCTGGGCTACTCCGAAATTCGCCCACCATTTCCAATTCTTCCAACTTAGTTTCTAGGAGACGCTCCTCGGGCCCTTCCTCCAGATCCTTCGTTCTCGCTAGCTGAGGGCACTCTTTAAGTTCTGCCTTCAGCGTATTGCGACCTCTCTTGATCGACTGGGCAGGTGGCCCGCCACTCTTCGACGTGCCCTGCCCATCGATCGGCAATCCTCCGCCCGCCGACGCCGCGGCCCCCTTCTGCGTCGGGGACCATCACGGCGCCTCGGGGCCTGTCCGCGAATCCTTAATCGAGCAAGCGGTTGTGGCCCCCCAGACCGGTCGCTCTCTATCGACACCCATTGCCCGCGTATCAGGGACGTCTTTCCGTTCACCTCCTCTTGCATCCTCATCG